AGACCGGTCCGAAAAAAAGACCGGATTGTTCCGTTACCGACCTCAAAAAGACCGGACCGTTCCAAGACCAACCTCAAAAAAACCGGACTGTTTCGAGACCGACCCAAGATTGGTCTGGAACCGCCAATATACAACTCTAGTCTCGGTAAAGACCGAAAAAGACTCACAACTCCAAAACTGATCCGTAAATGGCCTACGAGGCTAAGCCGTTTTTTGTGTGATTCTAATTCCATGTGTAGTGTAGGTGGTGGGTAGGGCTGTCAAATCGGGCAGTCGTGTCGTGTTTTTGTCTGACACGACACGACACGACAATGTTTTGTATAACACGAACACGACACGACATGATGTCGTGTTTTTTTTCATTAACACGAAAACGAACCAATTAAAACACGACAACACGACACGACACGACAAATATAATATTACATAACTATTAGTGTATTTCGTTCATACTTAAAGATATATAACATGACAAAAACGACAAACACGAAAAACACGACAACCACATGCTTAATCGTGTCAATTTCGTGTCCATTTATGAACACGAACACGACACGACACGACATCGTGTTTTTTAATCTTGACACGAAAACGACACGAACACGAATTCGAATTTTGATTTCGTCCCGATTTCGTTTCGTTTTCGTGTATTTTTGTCGTGTCGTGTCATAAATTGACACCCCTAGCGGTGGACACTTCAAGGAAATGGGCTACGATATTGGGTTCAAGCACTACGGGCCAATATCCAAAAAGTGCTACTTACAGATTTGGGTCTTTCTAATACTATATGTTTTCAACCAACTTTATCTATTGTTATCATTTCAAGCTTACAATAATTAGTTTTCGTACTTGGATAAACTGATTTTGATATAACTATCGAATTATCAACAGGTCAAAGAATCGGTTTTTGATAATAGTTTTATGATTAGTTGCAACTTTAAATTACCCTGTTTTGAATTTTAAATTACAGACTTCTAAAAAGAATATACTGGTATTTTTATTAGGTAGAAAATTACTTGTTGGAATTAAGGATAACAATATTTTAGATATTGATAAATTATATATGATGATATAATTATAATAGATGGAAACATAAACATTAATATTTTAAACTTAAATAATTCAATAACATATGCTTTTTTTGTCATTTTATTTGTTTTTTTTTTGTCATTTTATTTGTTAACTTTTTAAGTAATCAAAAAAGAAGCTGAAATTTTCACAGCTCTTTTTTATACATCAACATATTTTAAAAGGATAGGACAAATATACCTTTAATGTATTTTTAGAATGTAATTAATTATTCAAAGACAACACTGATTTTTAGGCAATTAAGCCTGCAACTCTTTCATTATTTCAACTTGTTAGTTGTCCCCTTCAACCACAATCTCCAACAGAGTCTTCTGCGACCATCATTTCACATTAATATGTTCTTTTCGTGATGTTCGTTTCCTGTAATAGCTACACCATTCCATTTCCCCATTACAGATCGTATGTACAAACAAATAATAAAGATATATTTGTAACTAACCAACCAAATTAAGTTAAAAATTCTACTTCTATTAAGTAGTAAAATATATTAATATAAAACATCTTGTCGAAAAAGCCATTCTTTGAGGTTTTTAAAATCGAAAAAGCATCGAATGTCATAAACTCCCATATCGTAGTAATAACAAATGTACCGAAACATTGTCTATAATTATTGTTGAGTCTCAAATTGTCTGCATTGAAAGATGATCTCTAACCAAACCCGAAAAGTAAAAGAATCAACATCCACTTATCTTGTCTTAAATTAAATCCAGCGGGGAACTAGTCCAACGAAATCCTCCAACTCAATATATTAACTTTTATTGGAGCCAAAATATTCCAACGAGTAGAATGATCCTAATAATAAAAGTTTGATCCTAATAATAAAAGTTTGTGTACTTCATAGTGGATAGCAAAAAGCATTTGACCTAGTAGTATTTGGAGTTGATGAATAGATGTACCTCAACCAAATGTTGAAAAATTAAATTCCACTTGGGATGAAAAGTGTAGATTTAAGAGTAGAATAGTGGGTATGTATGTACTCCGTTCTAAAAAATATATTTCCTTGCATATGAAACCGTGTAAAACTCATTCTAATCAATATGTCACGTGTAAATGTTTGTTTAATTCGATAACACCAACAACCAAATAGCTTCACTAAGACCTTCCCATTGTAACTGGTGTGCTCCTCTCCTAGGTTGACGACGCCAATGCATAACCCACTTGGGACGAAAAATGTAATTATGCTTAACTATATATAATATATAGACGGAAACTATAATTATCTTATAATATAGGGTGATATTGTAATTAGCCTAAACCGACGACAATTGTCTATAATAATAATAAAAAACCATTAGACGCATGTTGTGGCGATTACGTATGTATAATAGGTATGTCATAATTTATAATATAATTAAATTTAAGTATATATAGCAACAAAGTTTGGGTTTGTAAAGATGAACAATGAAACTTTTTGATGGCAAAATTGAAAACAATAAAAGTTTATTTTTCATAAATGTAAGTTTAGTATACCAATAAGGTCAAAAGTAAAAATATTGAAAACTGTGGTCAGAACACAGAAAAAGAAAATGTGGGAGAAAATAAAAATATCGAAAGGCTTGGGTTTAGAACTGAAAACATTGAAATGTTATGGGACCAAATTTGTTATAAAAAGCAAAAAAAAACTTGTCAACACTAAGAAAATGAGGCCAAAACTAAAAATACTGAAAATTTTGGGAACAAAACTTAAAGCAATGAAAGTTTTTGTGGCTAAAGTTGAAGTAAAAACGGGAAACACTGAAAAGTTATGGGAGCAAAATTGTTACAAAAAGTAAAAAATTGATCAAAACTAAAAGAAAAAAAGAGATGGTAGAAACTGAAATTTTTAAAAGTTTTTGGGCACAAGTTAAAAACAATGAAAGTTTTTGGGCACAAGTTAAAAACAATGAAAGTTTTTTGGGCCAACTTTGTAAATAATGAAATTTTTATATAAGAATACAGCAAAACTGAAAAAATTGAAAGATTTGAAAACAGTGAAAGATTTTCACGACAAAATTTATAGGGTTTATTAATCATATATTTCTCACATCATCTCAAAAATCCATGTTAAGCAGAAATCATTTTTGTAATTATAAAAACAAAAAGTTCATAAAACTTTAGACTTTAGTACCTCCCAAAATCAAATTAGATATGTAACACTAAAGTGGGTTTTGTAATTAGATATGGAACACTAAAGTGGGTTTTGTTTTGAAAGATGTAAAATGTCTTCTACCTTTTTTCATTCTACGGAATAAGAAGTGGATCAAAACTTTTTTTTTTTCATGTCTTTAGTCTTTTTTTTTTATATTTGTTTTATAAAATCTTTTATAAAAAAGAATGGTGGTGTTGGTGTTGGGATTCAAAAACTCATTTCAAACTTGTAAAGGACAAAGAAGGTTATCTTAAATGTTTCTTCAAGTGAAACTGACGCCTAAGCATGATAATTAATCATCAAAACTCATCAAAATTGATCCCCCTCTTGAAATGAAGCTTCTCTCGTCTCCCTTCATTCCAAATCGTTCAAATAAAGAAGAAACAACAAAAGGTTGGCCCAAAACACTATTTAATATTTATGCCCAAACTTAAGATGGTTAATCGAATCGTCACATATCAACACATTTTATTTTATAAAAGTTAATTTAACACTTAAGGATGTAATCGCCACAATTAATCCATTTCCTCATCCATACTTCACAAAAGATAAATGTCGTAAAGTGATAATATATTTCACATCTCATCCATCCTTAATTTTCAACTTCAAGAAAAATTCTTATACCATGTTTATCAGAGCATATATATTGAATCTTACTTTCATAGTAATGTTTTGTTAAATCTTACATACTTAAAAATCCACACATATATGTCAAAAGTTGTAGCACCCATTGTATGACCATTCTACATGGTCTTTTAAATTCGACTTCTACAAATAATTTTTGTTAGTATATTGACCGTTAGTCAGTTAGTGAACAGTTAGAAGTCTGTTAGTTAACACGTGAGTAGCTTGTGATTGTGATGTTGTTAGAAGTTTGTTAGATAGCAGTTATTTCTTCTTCTCTTTGTATATATATTCTCAGTGTATTATACAAAGTAAATTAATGAATCATTTCCAATCATTGAATTCTTGCTTTCTCTCTACGCATCAATAACAAACATGGTATCAGAGACTTTTCCGCAATCTTGATTTTTTTTTTCTGTTGATTGATTTTGTTCATCAATCAATTTCGTTTTTCTTTTCAATCATCATCAATTGATCTTGTTCATCAATTGATTTTACGTATTTTCTTCATTCTTTTGATTGCGTGATTGTTCACCAATCAATCTTGTATTTTTTTTTTCTCTCTCATTCTTCAATTACGAATATGGATCAAGGTTCTCAATCAGGTTCTTCTCAAATCGCAAATTCATCTCAGATTAATTCATCTGATCCGCTTTATCTGCATCCTTCAGATCATCCTGGAATGATACTTGTTACGAAACCATTTGATGGTTCGAATTTTGGATCTTGGAAGAAAGCTATCACTATCGCCTTATCGGCCAAGAACAAGCTTGGTTTCGTCAATGGCAAAGTCGTCAAACCGGATTCTACTCATGCTACGTTCGATTTATGGCAAAGATGTAACGATATGGTTATGTCTTGGATACTCAATGTTCTTTCAAGCGACATATGTGAATCTGTTCTCTACTCCTGTTCTGCTGAAGAAATCTGGAAAGATTTACAAGAACGTTTTGGTCAATCCAATGGTGCCAAGCTTTATCAATTACAGAAAGAAATTTCCGATTTAACTCAAGGATCAAGTGATTTAGCGACTTATTTCACCAAATTGAAAAGATGCTGGGATGAACTAGGCGCTTTGTCAACTCTTCCAAATTGTACCTGTACTGCTGCTCGTGAAATGCAAGAATTTCAACAAAATCAGAAGCTTCTCAAATTCCTCATGGGATTAAATAGTGATTACAATACAACTCGAGGTAATATTCTAATGATGAATCCACTTCCTTCAGTTACCAAAGCATATTCTCTTCTAATTCAAGATGAAAAGCAACGAGAAGTTTATTCTCCTTCTCATTTTTCCACCGATTCAGCATCTATGCATGTCAAATCCAACAATGGTGGTAACAATTTCAATAATGGAAATAATTCCAAAGGAAATTTTGAGAACAAAAGGAATCTCAATTGTACATTTTGTAAGAAATCAGATCACACTGCCACAAAATGCTATAGGCTAATCGGATTTCCAAAGGACTTCAAATTCACCAAGAACAAGAATGTTGCAGCTCATGTATCTGGTTTTCAGCCAATTGGTGAAAATGAATCTAAGGAAACAGCTCACATCACAAGTCAACAATTACAAAGGAATCATACATTTTGTAAGAAATCAGGTCACACTGCCACAAAATGCTATAGGCTAATCGGATTTCCAAAGGACTTCAAATTCACCAAGAACAAGAATGTTGCAGCTCATGTATCTGGTTTTCAGCCAATTGGTGAAAATGAATCTAAGGAAACAGTTCACATCACAAGTCAACAATTACAAAGGAATCATTCTATGCAAGAATTGACAAATGAGCAATATCATCAATTGTGTTCTTTATTGAGCAAATTGAATGATAACAATAGTGAAGGCAACCGATTTGAAGATCAAAATATCAAAGTCAATCAGTCTTCTGCTCATATGGCTGGTAATGCCTTTCTTTCTCATGACCAACGCAATAGCTTCATTAATTGCCATTGTCTTGAAACTGCTTCTATGACTTGGATTATCGATTCTGGTGCAAGTGATCACATGTGTTTTAATAAATCCTTTCTCATAAACACACAAAGGCTAAAGCATCCTTATAGAATTACTCTTCCAAATGGTCAACAAACTTATGCTTTTGAATATGGAAGTATAATCTTGGCTGATAATGTACTTCATCATGTTTTGCATGTCCCTCTTTTCAAATTCAACCTTCTTTCCATTGCTAAAATCTGCAAACAGTTACATTCATTTGTTGTGTTTTCAGAACATCATTGTTTCTTGTTGCAGGGCCCTTCAGTGAAGAGGCCACTCGTTCTTGGTAAACACAAAGCTGGATTGTACTTCCTGCAGTCCAAGCCAACTTGTTAGATGCATTTTATATGCATCTTTTAGCACAATTTCCTACGTATTTCATTATAAAAAGCTAACTAATTCCCGATTATTCTTATGTATTTCGTGTTTCATGATAATTTTAAAGAATGCCCGTACTGCTCACGTTTGTTATGACTTTTCAGGGCCATTTGGAGCACATGGATGAATGCGCAAGTTCGGGATGCGTTTGTGGATGCTTAGGAGCTTAATTGGAGTCTAGACCAAGGAAGGATGCCGGGAAATGATCGAGAACTAGTTGGAAGGAGGAACGACTAACAAAAAGAGCCAAAAAGCCTCATTTGCGATCACAAGTTATGTCTTTGCGATCGCAGGTTTGACCTTGCAATCGCAGGTTGGGTCGCAGGTTGCCATCGAGGTTCCAACGAGTCACAAAATTCATCAGATGGGAAAAAAAGAGAACATGCGATCGCAGGTTGTGCCTTTGCGATCGCAGGTTGGTCAAATTGCCTCAAAATAGCAACGTACTTCATTAAAGAGTCTCGTGACACATTTTTGGTGATACATGCGATCGCAGGTATACCCCTTTGTGATCGCAGGTACGCCGTTTTGACAGCTAGACGTATAAATACTGCCCCATACTCTTCCAGTAACCCTAATTGGCGATTCCTGGCGATTCAGAGGCGATTTTCAGAGGTTTTCAAGTGAAGAACGCAGATCTAAAGGAGACGATTCGATTCCAATTCATAGTTTAGTAAGATTTATCATTTAGATTCTATTTCCACTGTTTGTAATCAGTTTTTAGCCATGTCAGGCTAAAAACTCAGATTTCAGTTTCGCAAGACGTAACCTTTTCGTATGATTAATCATTAGACACTATGTTTGACTATGATTACTGTTTAGTTTGATCAGTTCTGTGTTAATTTGAATGTTTGATTTTGATTTCAGTTTCTGTTGGCCACTTAAATTGTTTGTGAATCATTCTAGTCATCTAATTGTTTAGATCCGTAATTGTCTAGATTAATTAGTAAAAGGTGACAAGTATTAGATTAATTCTGAGTTTAGGGTTAACTCTAATATGAAATGATCAAACAAGTTTTAACGCCTCCGAGCTTATGAGAGGTATTGAACATTACTGGGAATTACAATGTGTCTAATGCAACTTTTCTTTGTTAATCAAGAGCTTGTTTGGTTAATTTAGTAAAAAGTTAGGTTTAAATCAAATAACTTATTTTGATTAAACGATTTTTGTAATAAAGGTCATTAGAGCTTGTTAATGAACTTTAGTACCAGTTTAAACAAGTGCATAGTCAAATATTGTGTTGAAGGTTAATTATATGATTAGGGGAGTCACCGCGAAACTGGAATTGCTTTCTTTTATTTGAATTTTCACCACTTTAAATTTAGTTATTCTTTTGTCATTTTCGATTTCTATTAGTTTAATTTTCAGAAATAAACCCCCCCTTTTTATGTTTATTGCATTCATCAAGAATTAGACCACACCTTACGCAAAGAGGTGTAAACATTAGAACGTGTCCCTGAGGATCCGACCCTGCTTACCTGTACTACCTGCTAGTGCAATAAAGCAGTTTATTTATTATTTTTATTTGTTTAAATCGTGTACGACAGTGGTCTTAACAAATTGGCGTCGTTGTCGGGGACAAGGTAAAACACTAATAGTTTTATGCCAAGATCTTCACGTACAGGTAATCTGATTTTTGATCCAGAGATTGAGAAGACTGCTAGGAAGCTAAAGAAGGAAGCAAAACTTCGAAAGCAACAAACAGGAACCTCAACCTCACCCATACCACAAGGCACTCCCTTGTGGAACGAACCTGAACATTCATTTTAACCTTTTCCGAAAGCACCACCTACCTCACCCGTTAACAACCCGTTCAAAACATACTCATCATCATCTTCAGACAAACCCGAACTCACAGATTCTTCTGAAACCGAATCAGAATTCATCATGAGCGAAAACGGAGATGAAGCTGAAAAAACTCTCCATGAGTGGGCAACACAAGAGGTTACCCAGCAGCCCTTGTGTATCACCTTTCCAGAAGCTCGAAATTTTGAGCTCAAATCCGGTTTAATCCATCTGCTACCCCCATTTCGAGGCCTTGAGAATGAAGATCCTCATAAATTTCTCAAGGAATTCCATGTTGTCTGTTCTGGAATGAAACCCCATGGAGTTACTGAAGACCAGATCAAACTCAGGGCGTTTCCCTTCTCAGTTCAAGATGCAGCAAAGGAGTGGTTATATGACCTTCCATCTGGCTCAATAACAAGCTGGAATGAACTCGCCAAGCTCTTCCTAGAAAAATATTTTCCCGAGGCGAAAGTGTCAAATCTACGCAGAGAGATTTTGGGTATAAAGCAAGGCAAAAGAGAAGCTCTCCACACTTATTGGGAGCGATTCAAGAAGCTGTTAGTCCGATGCCCACAACATGGCATTAGTGATTATCAGTTGTATCAGTGTTTCTGCGAAGGATTGATACCTATGGAGAGGCGACTAATAAATGCATCTAGTGGAGGGTCACTTTCAGACATGACACCAACAGAGATCAGGGCATTAATAGAGAAGCTGGCCAATGAATCAAAACATTCAGCAACTGAGGAAGAGTGGTACCCAGACCATCCAAGAGGAGTCAAGGAGATGAGCAATGCCCACCTGGAATCCCAGATTTCAAAAATTGACTAAAGCTGTCCTTTTGTTGACAAAAGAAAAAGGTGTAGATCCAAAGGTCAAACCTTGCGGGATCTGCTGCAAAACCGGGCACCCAACTGATATGTGCCCAATACTTCAAGAAGATAATGAATCTGTGCAAGCTATGGGAGGATTTCAGCAAAGGCCATTTGATCAACATCGCAACAACCAAGCTTGGGGAGGGCCTCAAAATAACAATTTCCAGCTAAAACCTCAACAAAATTTTCAGCAAAGAAACCAATATCAAGCTCCACCCGGGTTTCAGCAATCTTTTCAGCAAAATCAGCACCAGAGTAATTTTGAGCAACCACCTGTTCAGTCACAAGCTAGTAGTTCCAGCATGTCTTTGGAAGACATAGTTAAAAGTCTTGCTACCAGTACCCAAGCTTTCCAGAATGAAACAAAGTCCAGCATCAAAAATCTGGAGCAGCAGGTATCACAACTCGCGAACTCCATGAGCAAACTAGAAGCACAAACCCAAGGAAAATTCCCATCTCAAAATGAGAAAAACCCGAAGCACAATGCTTGTGTTGTCACCCTCATAAGTGGTAAAAACTACAAAGGACCAGATCAGCAAGAAGATGAGGAAGAAGAGATCGTGGTTGAGCAAGAATCTGAGGCAACTGAAGAGGTGCAGAAAAAAGATGGACCTGCTGAACCTGAAGTAAAAAATTACCCCTCCTCCTTTTCCCTCAAGACTGAAAAACACGAAAAAAGAAAAGGAAGATAAAGAGATTATGGATTTCTTCAGAAAGGTTGAGGTAAATATTCCCCTTCTTGATGTAATTAAACAACTACCCCGATATGCTAAATTTTTAAAAGAGTTGTGTACTTCAAAAGGAAAATTAAAAGGAAACGAAACAGTTAAAGTAAGCGAGAATGTTTCAACTGTTTTACAAAAAAGGCTACCCCCAAAGTGTAAGGATCCAGGAGTATTTACTGTTCCTTGCAAGTTGGGGAACCATTCAGTGCCAAGAGCTATGTTGGACTTAGGAGCTTCTATAAATGTTTTACCATATTCACTTTTTAAAACTATCGGGGTAGTGCCTTTAAAAAGAACAGGAGTCATCATTCAGTTACCTGATCGTTCGCTGGTACACCCAAAAGGTGTAGTGGAAGACGTTTTGGTTCAAGTGAATGAACTCATATTCCCAGTTGATTTCTATGTTTTGGATATGGGAGATGACGGCTCACCAAACTCAGGTTCCATTCTTTTAGGGAGACCATTTTTAAAAACTGCCATAACCAAAATAGATGTTTATGATGGTACCCTTTCAATGGAATTTGATGGTGAAGTTATCAACTTCAATATTTATGATGCCATGCGTTACCCAGATGATGTTTCAGCCCTTAATTTCATTGATGTAATTGAACCATTATCTGCAGAATATTTTGAGATTGCTAACCGTGAGTCACTAGCATTAGTGCTCCACAAAAATTTGTCTATTAATGCAGCTCAGGTTATATCAGAAAATTATGTCGTTGATAGAGAAGTTCAAGAGATGGCAGCTCATATGGACCAGCTGAGAAAGTTGAGGTATGGTACCCAAACTCTTAAATTACCAATTTCTAACTCCAAGCTTTTTCCTTCTGTAGTGCAAGCCCCCATCTTGGAGCTAAAGACACTTCCAGAACACCTGAAATATGCATATCTTGGGGAAAAAGAAACATTACCAGTTATCATATCAACAAGCTGTCAGAAAAAGAAGAGTTAGAGGTGATCAGAATTCTGAAGGAGTATAAAAGTGCAATTGGGTGGACTATTGCAGACATTAAAGGACTCAACCCATCTCTATGCATGCACAAAATTCTGATGGAAGAAGATTATAAGCCATCGCGAGAAGCCCAACGCAGATTAAACCCACCAATGATGGAGGTGGTTAAAAAAGAAGTTATGAAGTTACTGGATGTTGGGATGATATACCCAATTTCTGACAGCAAGTGGGTCAGCCCAGTTCAAGTTGTTCCTAAAAAGGCTGGAGTGACAGTGGTAGAGAACAAAGAAGGAGAGTTGGTTCCAACTCGGGTTCAAAACGGATGGCGCGTGTGTATTGACTACAGAAAATTAAACGCAACCACCCGGAAAGATCATTTTCCTCTCCCATTCATAGATCAGATGCTAGAGAAGCTTGCTGGAAAATCCCACTACTACTGCTTGGATGGATTTTCAGGTTTACATCAGATTCCAGTTGCTCCAGAAGACCAGAAGAAAACGACTTTCACCTGCCCTTTCGGGACATTCGCGTATAGGCGTATGCCATTCGGACTCTGCAATGCACCTGCTACCTTTCAAAGGTGTATGGTTAGTATGCCGCCATTCGGACTCTGCAATGTCGAAAATACCATAAAAGTCTTCATGGATGATTTTACCGTCTATGGAGACTCCTTTGATATTTGTTTAAAAAACCTCATAAATTTTTTACAAAGATGTATAGAAACAGACATGGTCTTAAATTTTGAAAAATGTCACTTTATGGTTGACCAAGGTCTGATTCTTGGACATATTGTTTCAAAAAGAGGTTTGGAAGTCGATAAA